TGTGTGTGTGTGTGTGTGTGTGTGTGTGTGTGTGTGTGTGTGTGTGTGTGTGTGTGTGTGTGTGTGTGTGTGTGTGTGTGTGTGTGTGTGTGTGTGTGTGGTGTGTGTGTGTGTGTGTGTGTGTGTGTGTGTATTGGGGGGGGGGTTCTCTGTCAGTGTGTGTGGTGTGTGATTGTGTTACTGGGAGAGTTGTGTGTGTGTGAGATTGTGATTGTGGCAGTTCTGTCCCCCAGGGATCTGTACTGGGTCCAGTCCTATTTAACATATTCATAAACGATCTGGAAAAAGGGGTAAACAGAGAGGCCAAAATTTGCAGACGATACAAAACCACTCAAGATAGTTCAGTCCCAGGCAGACTGCAAAGAGCTACAAAAGGATCTCACAAAACTGGGTGACTGGGCAACCAAATGGCAGATGAAATTCAGTGTTGATAAATGCAAAGTGATGCACATTGGGAAACACAATCCCAACTAGACATATACAATGACGGGGTCTAAATGAGCTGTTCCCGCTCAAGAAAGATCCTGGAGTCACTGTGGAGAGTTCTCTGAAATCCTCCACTCAATGCGCAGCGGGGTCAAAGAAGCAGAACAGCATGTTGGGAATCATCAAGAAAGGGAGAGAGAATAAGACAGAAAATATCATGTTGCCGCTATATAAACCCATGGGACGCCCACACCTTGTACACTGCGTGCAGATGTGGTCACCCCGTCTCAAAAAGATCGATTGGAATTGGAAAAGGTTCAGAAAAGGGCAACAAAACCGCTGAGGGGTGTGGAACGGCTGCCGTTTGAGGAGAGATTAATAAAATGGGAACTTTTCAGCTTGGAAAAGAGATGACTAAGGGGGGATATGACTGAGGTCTATAAAATCATGAGTGGTGTGGAGAAAGTGAATAAGGAAATGTTATTTACTCCTTCTCATAACACACGAACTAGGGGCCATCCAATGAAATTAATAGGCAGAAGGTTTAAAACAAACAAAAGGAAGTATTTCTTCAC